CTATGTGATACACTAAAAGACACCCACAATAGGTTTTCTTCAAAGTTCAAATAAATGAAAACCTTCTGTGATCTGTGGCATACATACTAAAGTGTGAGGATGTGAGGGCTCTCCTCTTTGGTCCTGCACATGTAGATAGTACACTGGTACAGCAGCCACAGTGCTGTCAAGGTTTGGCTAATCTGTACGCTGGTTTTCCAGGGTAATAATGGATTTGCATTGATTTAGATTCCCTGCTTGGTCCCTGTATGGCTGGTTAGTGTGCACTTGGAGCGGCATGGGCCTAGAGCAGACCAGAGCATGCAAAGCTGGCTGTCTCACCAGGAGACTGAATGACTGACATGATGGCCATGAACTTAGCCTCATTTGTTTAGTATTCTCACCAGCTGAGCTAACTCATCTTTTGAGATAGAATTACACAAGCTAGCATAGCTTTCCAGAATTTTATTTTTCTTTTCAAAAGAATTACCACCATTAAATGCCCAAAGTATGTCCTATCATTATTATGGACTCAGAGCAGCTTTATAAAAATAAGATTACTATGACAAAATTATTTCAAACATATTTAAACACATCAGGACTCTGAAACACAGGAATTTTTACCCACTAGAAATGAAATTTAGAGCAAACTGAAACAGTGAATGTTTGAGTGCAAAACAAACACAATAAATTCACAGTAATTGTCATTTTTTATCTCAAAGGTCTAACTGAAGGTAGGTAATTAGTAATGCCATCATGTGGCAAAAGAGCACTAGAAGGGGAGTCTGGAACCCTGAGATCTAGTCCTGGCTGTCATTATATAATATTATGACATGTCACAGTGATCAGTTTCTTTTTGTAGAATGGGAATCTGGGCTTGACACATCTAAGAGTCCTTCCAATTTTGAAATATTAAGAACTCTTATTCTTGTCAAAATTATATAAATCATATATTAAATATGTTCTTAAATCTAGTTATTTTTAACCTGTGACAAAGACAGAGCTGCTAAAATATGTTAAGGTAAAACCAGCCTGTGTTTTTTAATCAAATGTTTCTAAGAATAAGAACAGAAAAATAACTGTATGAAACAGCCTCAAAGAGCTGTTCTTCTCCATCTAGAAGAAGGCAGTATCTCCTGGACAATACAGAACATGTTTTCTTAAACTACTTCAAATTATCTAGAAATATAATTTCCTCCCTTCCCTCTCCTTTGCTGTGAAAACTGGAATCTCATCTAATAATGTCTGTCTTCACTTTATGATGCTGCTCTCTGAAGGCTAGATGACTGAACAGATTTTGGAGCAGGAAGAAAGCAGGTACCAAACTGTTTTTAACCTTGTAAATCCTCATGGTGTCTCTTTTAGTATAGACTTTGGAGAAATATTTAAATGGAAAGCAGAAATGATATGAAAGATTCCCAACTATAGCTACAAAGCCTCTAAATGTCCTCGAGAATGTTAAGCCCCGTATTGGAACATTAGGCCAAAAGGGGCAGAGTAAAACAGAATCCCTAAGAAAATAGGCACAGTTCATTTGAATATTTTTCTTTTACATCCACTTTAATTAAAAAGACAGAAAACGAAGATATAAGTTATTTCTAATTAAATATGGAGGTGAGCATAATCCAGACTTGCTGCCAATCAAAATATTTTAAAAGAATTTGCCAATTGTGACTTGCTCACTTATTTCAATGCAGTTTTTCTCTACCTCTAAAAATAACATCTTGACTATTATTCATAGCATGAATTTATGTATCTCCAAATTTTATTAAATGTGCTTCAAAGTCTACTTATTTTATAAGGAAAATCTATCAGCTATAAGGTATAAATATGCCTTTTAGGTCACCATGATCACATGTGGCAGCAAAATAATGGTACATATGTGGCATGGGCAAAAGTAGTTTTATAGTTGTTCATATGGAAAAAGACATGCAGGTTATGGTTATTACAATAGCTTTAGTAACTCGAAAGAATGTCATAATGCAACTCTAAGCCTACTTTTGCCAACCTTGTATTAATGCTGCAAATCAAAGGGTTACACTGAAAAGGGGGAGTTATAATCCAGAATCAAATAGCTGTATTATCCTAAAATCATGCCACTTTAAAATAGAAATTTATTGGACATTTTGAAAACTTTTTAAATTGAAGGGTTTATCAAGTGTTTAAATTTTTAAGTACAAGCATCCTCCACTTTTTGAAAATTTGTTAGGCCACTTGGCTTTCAGGAAAGACCTACATTAGTACCTGTTCCTGCTAACCAAAAGAAATCAGAAAGGACTTTTGCTTTTAAATTATTGGTAATTGCTCCTTCTCTTTACACCATTCAGCCTAGGAAAAGTTTCATAGGCCCACACTACTTTCAGATAGCAGGGAAAACCTGTATTTTTCTAACTTTCTTTAAATGAAGGGTAAGTGAAAGGTGTTTTCTCTGAAACCTTAGTTAAGCTGAGTAATAAAGTATATTACCAAACAAAATAAATTTTAAAAAATAGATTACTGGTAGGTTTCTAGGATCAATAATGCATAATGGTACTAAAGAACAGTATTTACTCTGGCCAGTGTGGCTCAGTGGTTGAGCATCGACCTATGCACCAAGAGTTTGCTGGTTCAATTCCTGGCCAGGACACATGCCCAGGTTATGGGCCTGATCCCCAGTGGGGGGCATGCAGGAGCTGGCCAATTGATGTTCTCTCTCATCGATGTTTCTATCTCTCTCTCCCTCTCACTTCCTCTCTCTCTAAAATCAATAAAGGAAAAAAAATTTAAAGAACAGTGTTTAAACAATATACTTAAAGTGATACTTCCTTTTTTGGTTAAAGCTCAGGTCTTTATGACTTTATTTATACTCTTTTTATTATTATTACTATTGATTTTTAGAGAGAAAAAGAGATGGAGAAAGAAACATTGGTTGGCTGCCTCCTGCACACCCCCTACTGGGGGTGGAACCTGCAACCTGGGCATATGCCCTGACCAGGAACTGAACCAACAACCGTTTGGTGCGTGGGATGACACCCAACAAACTGAGCCGCACTGGACAGTGCTAAAGTGATACTTTTAATTTCATTTTTCCTATATCCCTTGTACTTATTGGATTCATATAGCAATTGTCTTCCAAGGAACTCAGAATGCATTATAAGATTATAGATTTAAGAGCATTATGACTACACAATAGCAATTGTTTTCAAACTAAAATTTTTTAACCTAAGAATGATGTATTGCCATATATTGGAATAGAAAGGAGTGACATGATAAAAAAGAGAGCTGTGGCAAATGGGGAAATCATATAAGGAAAGAATCAAGGGAATGAAAAAAAAAAAAGAGAAATCATAACTTCAAAAAAAGTCATCCACCTAACGGGTGAAAATTCGGCTTCACTTTACCACAGATTCTGCTTCAGTGAGTTGATGTAGAAAAAAACTAGACTAATGAATCTACTGCTTTCCTGGATCTAAGATAAAGCTCACTTTTTACCTGTTAGGTTATCACAAGATGAAGAAGAAATAATTCTTTTGAATAGACTCTATAAATATTACAATTTGTTTTCTACAAATCAGCCGACTTACCATTAAAAGTCCATCAGCAATTTAGTCCTTAGATGTGTGCTCTTATTACATGTTTTTACTATTTTTGGCAGGCTAGTGTCTTCATCATTCTTTGGAAATAATGGCAGCCAGCCAGTTTATGAATTCCTAATGAAAACCTAAAATGTTTAATGGAATATTAAGTACCATATATTTTACCTTTTCTGGGTTAATTATAGAATCTGAAGTATAACCATAAATAATGAATACTATAATATTCATAAAATAAACCTTATGAAAATTCATGTAGCAAAACATCACATTCTAACTATTTAGTCTAATCTACAGAAGGAATGGATTCCTCATTTTGAAAACTTTTAATTTAACTCAAAAAAGGAATAGGCAGAGATTTCTAGAACCTAAAATACTATCTAACCCTGTGCCATTTATAAAAATATGGAAATGGGAATGCTATTTCAAATATAAAACACTGCAGATCATAAGAAAAGAAAGGAGACTCTAAGACTTACTGATGAAATTTCATTACACTTTAAGTTAAGCAATAATGACTAAATTAAATTTAAGTCACTTTACAGAACAGCTTGGAAATTAACGGAATTTACTTTTAAGCTTAATTGGCAAATAATAAACTGAAAAAAAGAAAATCTTGTCTATTATTGAGAATATAACTGATTAACCGATTGCTTTACACCTAAATGTGATTTATTCTTCACAAAGACTTATATACCAACATAGAGCTTAGCTAAAATAAAAATTTTATTTTTAATAAAATTCTTAAATTCTTAAATACTGGGCTGAACATAAGAATTTATGATTATTAGTTGAGATACCTATTTATGCATATAGACATTTATCTCTTGCTATTTCCTCAAATCCATATCCTATAACAAATTTTTAAACATATTTAATATTCTCAAGAAAATCTAAGTTCCAATTTACATTATGATCTTGGGAAAATTTTTACAATTTATATTTTAAAATATTTGATTTTTGAATATTCTATCTTTAAGACACTTCATTTTTATACATTTATTTGCATTGCATTTGTTTCATACTCTAAACACCCACAGAACAGTTACATACGGAGAGTTTTATTAAGTAACTCTGTTTTATCCTAAAAACTTATTTAGTCTAGAAAAAGCCCCAAACTGTGAACTGTGTATTATACATAATTTTTCCTTCTCACCAACTTTATAATGCTCTCACAAAATTGTTTCTTAAATAGCATTAATTTTGGGACCATAAGTCTAGTCACATGAATATTCAAATTCTCTATTTAAATCCCAAAAGGATCCACCATCACAAAATTATCTCCAAAGTCTACTTATGTAAGATATTGCTCCAATTTCATTCTCAGCTATAATACCTTAATTATCGTTGGAACCAAGACCATTCAGTATCATTGTCCCTAATCCTTTTTTCAAATAGCAAACTTGAACACAACTGTAATTCTTTTAAGAATCTTTATTGAATTTTTTAAACAATTTAGCCTGTTGGATCTCGATGCAGTTTATAAAACAACTTCCATATAGTTTACTATAAACTGCAATCAGAAAAGTAATTTACTTTGTCAAAGAAGTTATCTGAAGGTGCAAGTTATTTTTTGTAATAGGCAGAACAGTAAAATATAAGCATGCTCTCGGATGCAGGTGCTCCTGTGTACTATGGAGTTACTTTGAAGAGCTTGCTAAGGTCTGCAGGCAGTTTATGGAATGCAATAATTTTCTTCACAATTTAGGTACAGTACATGAGAATAAAACTGATACTTATGAATAGAGTATTTTTCTCAAAAAAGTTGAGGCAGCTTTTGTTGAATGCTATCTGTGTCAGTACATTGGTTACACATTGAACTGTACTAAGAGAAACAGACAGCCAGGAGTCCATGTTCATGCTGAAACTTGAAAAATCCCTCCATTCGTGTTGAGTTCCAAGAAAGGGAAGAGGATAGAAGTCTATGCAATTGTTCATCATCTGACATTACCGGACCATACCAAGACACTTTACATGACAAGGGAGAATATTCCCTTCACTGCTTTCAGTCAAGGTCAGTGGTGTCTACAGTGGAGGGTGGAGGTGGAGCAAGCCTAGGACAGGATAAAGCTTAATTAAGTCTACATCTCATGCATAGTTGTCCTTATTCTGTCCTCATACGTTTCTCAGACATCCGAATTAGAACTGAGGTTTGTTAACCTGGGGTCCGCATTGATTTCATATCTGTAATGATACCCTTCCATGTGATCCCTGCAGGCATCTCTGATGTTATGCATCCACTTTTTTATCCCCTTACGATTCAAATACAAAACCAGTAGGAAAATGGCACCTATCAGGGCTAAAACAATACCTAGAAAGACATAAGAAGTCTGCAGGGATGGAGGGAGGATAGGGTCACAGTTCAGGTCGGAGCCGTTGAGTTCCAGGAGAACCAGATTCCTCATTTTTTCCGGGAATGCACAGGTAAGCCTGGCTTTGTCTTGCACAATCTCTGTCTCCTTGAGCCAGTTCACCATGTCCGCCATGTGGCAATCGCATACCCAGGGATTGTTGTCCAGGAAAACTCTGACTTGGGGCAGGCCTTGCAACTCTGCCAGGGTGCTGTTGTGAAGGACCTTGAGGGCGTTGTCCTCCAGGTGGAGGCTTTCTAGGTGTGTCAGGTTGCGGAAGGACACATAAGTCAGGCTAACCAGCGAGTTGTTGCGCAGGTCCAGGTGCCTGAGGCCCGGCAGGTGGGCCAGTACGTCGCGGGGCAGGTAGAGAAAGTGGTTGCTGGTCAGCTCCAGGCGGCGGAGCCCGCGCAGCGCCTGGCCAGCTCGCAGGGCAGCCGCCACTATACCCTCGAAGCTCCGGTTCTGCAGCATATCATCGTCAGGGGGCAGGATGTGGTTCAGGATCAGTTCCACCAGGGGGCTGGGGGCCGAGACACTGGCGTTGCTCCCGGAGAAAGCGAATCGGCTGAGATTGGCCAGCGGGTTGTGGCTGAGGTCGAGCTGGCGCAGGCTGGGCAGACGCTCGAAGGCTCCGGCTTCCACCCTGTTCAGGAGGCTGCCGCTGAGGTTGAGCGCGGCCAGCTCGGCCAGCGGCGGTCCGCGAGCGAAGGCACCGGCCGGGAGCACTACCAGCTGATTGCCCGTGAGGAAGAGGTTGCGCACGTAAGGGGGCAGGTCCGCCGGCACCTCGGTCAAGTTGCGATTAACGCACTTGACGGTGCGCGCCGCTTCTGAGCACTCGCACGGCGCGGGGCATTGGCCTGGCAGAGGAGGCTGGGCAGACACCGCGGAGGCCAGGAACGACGTTGAGGAGGTGGAGGAGGTCGCCGAGGAGGTGAGTGAAGACGAGGAGACCCAGCCCAGAAGGACCAGAGCCAGCCGCGCAAGCCGCAGCCGCGCGTCCCCGGCGGCGGGGCCTCGGGAGCACCCCCCAGGCATCACGGCACGGGTCTCCCCGGAGCTGGCCTGGCGCCCGCTCCGAAGACTCGGAAGCTGGGCCCGGAGGGCGCGGATCGGCAGGAAGCTTCTGGAGAAAACTTTCCTCTCGTGGGAGCGGAGGAGGGACGCCGCAACCGGAACTTAGCTAACACCCCCTTTCCAGCGGGCGTCCCCTCCCGTGGCGATTCCCCCGCCCCTTCCCTCTAGGAAAGTACGCACGGCGGGTCGGGACGCTTAACTCTCGCTCCTCTTCCTGCTGCCGCCCCTGGGTGGCACCTCTCGCCTCTTTTGTTGGTGCCTCGCGCTGGATCCGCTGCAGGACCTGGGACAGGCGGGAGAGAAGCGTTGAGGAGCCGCACCCGCCGCAGCTTTCCGAGTGCAAGAACTGGCCTATCAAAGCCAAGTAGTGCCCACTCTGTCCCCAGGACCAACCTCCCAACGCCCCTAAGGGCCTCCCCCCCGTCCCACGCACATCCTTACCCGGGAGAGGGGCGCGCATCCCGAGACAGGAGCGCAAAGTCTTCCTTCCGCCCTGGCCCAAGCTATATATATCGTTCCAGCCTCCCGCCCTCCTTTCGCGATCAGACTTGTCCCAGGCTCGTAACTTCTGGCTTAAAACCCTGCGCCTTCCCGACCAAACTTCTTTCTCCCACCACCTCTGCGGGTGACCTGCTTTCCGGGTCTCCACCCCTACCCTGACCTTTCCTTCTGGTCCAGGTTAGGATGAGAAGGAAGTTTCAGTTTGCAAGTCTTTGGATCTCTTTTAGTCCCTCCACGGATAAGCAGGAAGTGGAGGGGCTGTACTGCAGCACCCCAACCCGTGTCTCCACCAGCCCCTCGAATCCTTGAGGGGGTTCAAGTCTTCTCCCAATGGGGAGGGGATGGGAGAGGCCGCGAACAAAGCAGCGGTGAAGCCCGGGACCTACGCTACTCTCCCGCCTGAAGATGGGGAGGAGCGCCGGCGCCGCCTCCGGGTTCTCGCCTGCGCGGCTGGCTCCCAACAGCTTACCTCCACGCTCGCCAGCTCTGGAGACAACTCTGAGTCCCACCAGAGTCTCGGCGACTTTCTGGCTCCGCGCTGCGAGTGCCGACTCTCCTCGCAGCCTAGCCCCTGGCCCAACCTCCGCAGCTGGGCAAAACCAACCTGGTGGGCGGGGGAGGGCCAGGCTGGTGGAGGGACTTCTCTTGCACCGCGGCCAACCTATGTAGCCCTCCGCAGCGAGATTTAAGAAAGGGAACTGGGGGGGATCTGGGCTGCGCGCCTCCTCCTGGTCGAAATTAACGAGGAATGTGCGGGAAAAGGTGAGGGAATCCCTCTCTACCCCCTGCGCGGCATCCTTTGGTGGTTCCTTATTTTGCATACTGTATTTACCTTGGACAGGAACAAAACCGCTAGTGAATCTCGTGGAATTCACCCAGATTCTAGCATCTAGGGCAGTAACGAGATAGATTCAGGCGTGACAGAGCAGCACGAAGCAGCAACATAAAGAAATGAGCTGAAAATGCACAGGGGCCGCAGCAAAACGCCCAGCAAGCTGCAAGGGAGATTCAGAAAAATCTTTCTATCAAAGTGATACCTTAGATTCCAACTTTAGATTTAGGTGTAATGAATGCGTCCCCACTGGCCGGCCCCCACCTGTCTTGAACAGTTATGGAACTTGTAAAGAGAGAGAGAGACAACTTTAAGATGGGTTGGGGGGAAGATGAGTGGAGAGGAGATTCATTCTTGATTCATTAGCCTTTTCTCCTCCCTAAATTAAAAGCAGAGGGAAGAAAACGGCAGCCAAAGCATCCTAGAAACAAAAGGCAAATAGCAAGGACGTGAGTCACCCGGAAAGCAGACCCGTTCCCCCTCTCCCTCCCCTCCCCCGCCCCACCAGATGTGGTTACAGTGTGTCAGTGCCAGTCTACCAGTCACTAAAGATAGGAAAGTTCAAGGGGTGGGGGTGTGGGTGGGGGGAGACCGCCAAGGGAGATCAGAAGCTGGACCTAATGTCTATTGACCTTAGGGGTCTTCTGGGGGAGGGGGCCAGAGGATGTTGTTGAGGTAAGGGACAGATTGAATGATTACTTACTGGGAAGATCTGTTACACTGGAGACTTTTGGGATCCTGAAAGTTCTATCCTTGCTCTCTCAATAACTGTATACCCTTTGTCACAATCAAATAATCTCCCTGGAAGGGTGAGAGGGTACTGGTTAGTTATTTCAGGTTTCTTCATTTTGGAGAGGAAAGTGGGAATTAGAGAAAGCAATTGGGAAAATTAAGGTCTGGTAATAAAATGATCAAATAAGGAATGCTGAAGTCTGTGCCTAAGACTGACACGTTTACTGTGAAGACAGGAGCAAGTCCCTTCCTGATTACTTTTGCCGCAAGAGATAGCCTGCAGAGCCATTAGCAAAAAAACGGCCTCGACATGACCTGGAGGGGTTGAAGATTGCAGATATTTCACCAAAAAGTAGTTCTGTTAATTTGCATCTTCATCAGTTTATTGAAATCCCTTTTTCTTATTTTTAAAAGTGTTTTGCAACCTGAATATAAAACACTGAAAAAAGAGTCTCAAAAGCTATATGCAGCTGTGGTGGTGGTTACATAAATTGATACATGGATTAACATTCATAGATCTGTGTACACCAAAAAAAAGTCACATTTACTCTATGATAAATTTTAATTACTCTTGGTGGAGAGCAGGGGACTGTAGTAATGCTCTGGCATGATATTCATTCTGGTTCTGATCTAAAGAGCAATTGCTCTGTTAAGAATGAAAGGCACTTTACAATTAAGAAAGATTACATATATATTCTCATCTGATCCTCAGGTCAACTAGGCAATATAGATATAATTAGTATTATTGCCTTGTTACTTACTGGTGGTGTTATGCTGTTCTACAAATGAAAACTCTGGGGTTCTGAGCATTGACTGTTTTTCACCTGCCAAACCCTGTACTGGTGACTTTACAGAAATTATTTCATTTACTCTGCACATCAGTACTCAGGCACTCTCATTCCAGTTTTACAGATCAGAAAATTGAGGCAAAAATAAATAATATTCTGTAATTCCCCCTTATCTGCTGGGGATACATTCCAAGACCTCAGGTAAATGCCTGAAACCACAGATAATACCTAACCCTTTCATACTGTTTTTTTTTTTTCCTGATACATACATTCCTATAATAAAGTTTAGTTTATAACTTAGTCACAGTAAGAGATTAACAATAATAAAAATGGAACGGTTTTAAAATCCTGTAATAAAAGTTATGTGAATGTGGTCTCTCAAAATATCTTTATGTACTGTGCTTATTGTACTGTATTCTTTTCACTTAAAAGAAGCACTTGATGGCTTCTCTTTGGCATATCTGAAATGCAGCATCAGTACTCTTGCATTGTAGGGCTATTATGAAATAAAATAAGAGTGGCCTGAACACAATCAATATCCTTACAGTTGATCTGATAACCAAGATGGCTACTAAGTGACTAAGGGGCAGGAGCACACAGAGCATGGATACAGTGGACAAAACGATGGTATTTGGCCAGGGCAGGATGGTGCGAGATTTTATCATTCTGAACAGGCGCACAATTTAAAACTTATGAATTATTTGTTCCTGGAATTTTCTATTTAGTATTTTCCGACCTGGGTTGCCATGAGTAACTGAAACCTTGGAAAGCGAAACTGCAGATAAGGTGGGACTACAGTAACTTTTTCCAATGAATGGTGGAGATGGGGACCAGGCTCAGATTTGCCTGCCTTTCATATATGTCCCACATTCCACATCTAGGCAAGGCAAAGGAGTTTGTGCAAGCCCTACTCTGCTACTCCAAAGCCTTATCCCTGGTCCTTTCCCCTCTTTTCTTCCTCTACCTCCCTGCAGCTGGTGGTTGATTAGGTAGGGCTGCTGAATCAGGACCCAAAACTGGGTCACATCTAACTCCACCACTTACTATGTGACTTCTGTATACTTCTGTTTCTGTAAAATAGGAACACTAATAAAGCTTTAGGGTGTTTCCATGAGAATTAAGATGATGTATGTAACACACTTAGCAAAATTGTCTGTTATTATTGTGCTCGCCTTATTTTCTTTCTGACCATGTATTGTGCACCCACTATATCTCTGTAGTAATTTAGTAATTACTAAATTTCTGTAATAAGTAATTACTAAATTTCTGTAATAGTAGTACAAGGATGAATAGTTTATGGTTTCCACAAATACAATTGTGAGATTTAGCAAATAAAAATTCAGAATAGCCAGGTAAATCTGAATTTCAGTTAAACAATAAATAATGTTTTAGTATAAATATGTCCTGTGCAATATTTGGGATGTACTTATATGAAAATAATGCATTGTTTATTTGAAATTCTAATTAAACTGGGCATACTTTATTAAATATGGCAATAAAGGATTTCATCACCTGCTGGAAGAAACAAGAGCCTTTGATGCAGAACATTGAGTGCAGTTTGATGTGTGTATCTTTCCAATCTCCTCTCTCTGTATATATTTTACTTCCATTTCTGCTATTTTATATATGAATGAGATCATAGTATTATTCATAGTTTTTCTTATTTTAAAACAACTATATATTGTTTTATGTCCATATATATAGGTATGTTTTCTTCTTTTTTAAAGACTGCGAATATTCCATACTGTGGATTGTTATACCACATTGTTCCACTGCAATACTGAAAGACATTTAGACCAGTAAGTACTTTTTGAAGAAGTTTCCTTCAAGTAAGAAAAGGTTACTAGGATTTAGTGCTATTTTGATTGTCATAAGCATTTAATTATCCTAAATTATCATATTTGCCTTACTCTTGACAGCTTGAAATTTTTTTCATTCATGATGCTATTTACGTGCTCTAAAGCAGAACACGATTTCTGAGCACAGTTTTCCTAATTTATTCTTTCATTCCAAAATGAAAAGAAAGAAGGATCTGAATGTCCAGATGGAGAAGAACCAATTTAGTATATTTCAATAGGTCACTTTGTAGCCTCCAGGAAAATGTCTCTGCACTATCATTTATTTAGCAATTTCTTCTATAGGAACCATTTTTCTTCTAATGATCCAAAGGAAATTCATTAATAAATTATTGAAATTTTGCTGCTGAGTCTTGGGAAGGCAAAGAATAATGTAGTATATTTTTTAAAGATAAGTGATTAGGGCTACTCTCATGGTAACTAGCAGAGAGAAGCCATGTGGTCCAGCATAGACAATAAACATTATTTAAGACTAATTAATTTAGGTCTCTGATTTAAATCAGCAAAGGAATTGATGAAGGTGAACACTCTGAAATCTGAAAAGTATCTAAAACAAAATCAAGTATTGATGAACATCAAGCACATATATCATAAAACCATGAACCAACACTTAAAACCAAAAGAATCAACTTGAGGGTTCATTCACAGAAGGAAAAAAAATAGTTACATATTTGTTATTTTATACACAAATTCATGGAGAAATAATTTTTTAAAATTGCTAATGATTAAAAAGAAAGTGGCATGAGTTGGTTTCAACCACTTTAGAAAGAAATAGGCTTCTTGTCTGAGATATATAACCTAAATTAAGTAAAATATATACTAGGGAATAGGTCAAAAACATTTCTTTCATGCGTCAGTACAATGGGAGTTGGAGCTAGTAAAAATACTATACAAAGATGTGTTGAAATTTATTGGAAATTAAATAAATATTAAAGAACAAAGCTAAAAGGCTATACCATATTGAAGAGATTAAAGTGGATGGAAATAAGTGATTCTTCAAGGTTGAGAAAATCTTAAAAGATAAATAAAAACAATTATATAGTAATTGGCAGAATGTTCCAAATAGCTAAAATCACAGGATCATTCAACTTTAAGTGTTCAACTTTTTTTTTTTTTTTTATCCTCACCCGAGGACATTTTTCCATTTTTTGTTCAGACAGAGTGGGAGGGAGAGAGAGGAAGAGAGAGAGAGAGAGAAACATCGATGTGAAGGGACACATCGAGTGGCTGCCACCTGCACGACCAACCAGGGCCGGGGACAAACTGCAACCGAGGTACGTGCCCTTAGCGGGAACCGAACCCGGGTCTCTCTGTACCGCAGGCCCACGCTCTAACCGCTGAGCCAAATCAGCCAGGGCTAAGTGTTCAACTTTTT